GGGGTCGGGAATTATGCAAGCAAGACCTGTTATTTCTCCTGTGTGTGCGTCAGTTTGGCAGGGCTGGGACGAGGAGGACTCGTGCGGGCACCTCCAGAGACAGCGGGAACGGGAGCGTGCTGCAGAGAAGGAAAGTTCCAGGTGGTGGGTGCTGAGAAATTTGTCCTTGCCTTGCCCTGTGCTCTGCACTTAGCAATGGGTCAAGTGCAGAAGTTTCCTGGGGAGCCTGGAAAATGATGCCGGGTCTGCTAAGAAAAGTGGGGCCAAAAGAGCAGGACCCTGGGTCTGCGAGCGTGGGAGGAACAAGGGAGGGGTCATCCTCTGCCTCCGGGAGGGAGGGCAGCAGGAAAGGCCCCGGACTAAAGCACGGAAGTTCCGTTCCCCAGGGAGCCCCTGCCCAGCACTGAGCTTGCTCCTGCCCTTGCTGTCCCTTTCCCAGAGGAGCCGAAGCGTCGGGGGCGGGTGCCAGGGGGGGATGGAGCTGCCGAGGACAAACCGGGAGGGTGTTTGCGAGGGAAGGGGGGAGAAGGAGCTCCTGACGGGCTTTTTTTACTTCTTCGTCCCACAGAATTGCCACGAGAGGAAATACTTCCGAGGGGCTTCCCTCCAGATAAGCCCTGAATATGCCGGGAGGTTTCAGCCGGGAGAAAGGAGCTGTGGAAGAAAAGCAGCCTCAGAATAGCCAGCGGGGATCATCAGGTTTGCCAGCCGAGAAAAACAAGGAGGGAGAGGAGGGAATGGGGTTCCAATTCCTGATGATTTGGTGGGTGTAGGAATGATTTCTGTGTGTTTTCCAGTCCCTTTTGATTCCTGGGATGATTTTAAAATGATGGCTTTAGCAATCAACTAAATTGGAGATTGTTGAAAGAATCTTAGATGATGCAGGACATATACTGCTTCAGGCCTGCTTGCACAGTCTGGCCTGCGTGCTGGACGCCAGGGACCTGTGTTCTCCAGCAGCAGATCTGTGTCCTTGAGCAGCAGATATCAGAAAGCTGCATAGAGGAAAACAAGGAAGGAGGATGCTATCCAGAGTGTGAGAAACCAGAAGATGAGGGGGCCTGGAAATGTGCCTTGGCTAGTAGAGCCAATAACGTTA